GACAATTAGGGCCTCAGTCACCTCTCTGGGTCATAGATTGAATGGATAACAACTCTTTGTTTCCCTGAGACAGAAGAAAGAGAAGGAGCAATGGTGGTGGTGCTCTTCCCTCAGTGTTTAACATCACATTTGTGCTCAGGGGGTCCTGAAATCAATGCCTCAAAAGCTGGTCTTTGTTAACTCCACCACCTTTGAACTACCAAAATCCAACGCTTTCTAGCACCATATGGTGAATGCATTGTCCTCCCTTGTCATCACTGGATCCAGGGAGGAACATGAAACCATGGGCATTGAGAAATTGATACCAGAGAAAAGCTATAAAGACTCAGAGAGCCTAAATAGCCTTCACAGGCAAGGGAGGACCATCCAGGAATATCCTCATGGTTGATATGAGGATTATCACCCATGTGTCATATGTCATGCCACATACAGGAGATACTGATCATTCTGAGGAAAATGGGTTGGAATAATCCACACAACTGAGACTCCTTCGTGTCAGAGAGCTGTGACTAAATGAATGTGCTGCTCGATCTTGAGATTCAGCCTTCTTAAACTCCTTTTCACAAGTTTGAAATTCCCTGTGTTTCCAGCAGAAACCAGAAGGAGATGGATAAGCACATAGGTCTGTATGGCTGTTGTGGCAAGACAAGATGTGACCCTGTTGCCAGTCCTGGGTGCCACCATCAGGAACAGATCTGAGCAAATACTTTCTCTCAGGCCTGTTCCCTTTTCCTCCCTCTGTGTTTCATTTCCATCTCTGTACTCAGGGGGATGGTTGCTCTGTGTACACAAGAAGAAAGCTTTTTTTCCTCTTGATCAAACCAGCTTGCCTCTCTCTGCTCCAAGCTTTCATGTCATGGCTGGAATCCAAACAAATGATTTAGCTCTGCTGAACTTATTGCCTCTTTCAAGGAACTCCATCATCTCCTTTAGCTTGTCCATGCCCAGGAGTAGCAAATTCTAAAAGCAATCTTAAATTTAAATGTACCATTCTGTTTACTGAGCAGTGAACCTTCAGGCAATAAATACTACAGCAGGAATTCACCAAGACTCTGTTAGGGCTTGACAGCCCAGACAGCCATTGCACAAATCTTTGTTAGTCCTGACAACATGGTTGGTTTTTTTTTAATCAAAGGAATTACAAATTTGTTTTTAATCTTTGGGGTTACTCTTAATGCTGAGAAAGGATCCAAAGCTGTTTAAAACTGCATTCACATTACAAGCAGGCAGTAAATTTCAAACTGCTAGTCAAGCCCATTGTTACTCCATGTGAACAACACCACAGAGAAGAGGCTCAGCAAAATTTTTGTCCATGTGCTGCAGTTCTTCAATACATTTCAGGCACAGCAAGTGCTCTGGACCTCCCTGATTTTGGAAGTCACTTCTCTGGTTCCTGGACAGATGACCCTCCAGTCATGTGGAACCTCTGTAGGCATCATACAGGTGCTGAGAAGCAATCCTAGAGATCGTGGGATTGTGTTAACTACCTCTTAACCCTACAAGTATGATAACTCCAGGAGTTCATCAGCAAGGCTCCAAGTCAAAAATAATTTCTGTGCAATGGGGTGAATAACAGTGTGAGTTTAGATATTTACTCAGACCTGCTTACCTGGTTCTGTAATGTCCTTGTCCCCAAGGCACTTGAGGAGGTAATAAAACTTTTACATCAGCACAATCTGAGTTCTCCCCAGCACGGAGTCTCTTTCAGTATTTCTGTAGGGTTTTGTTTACTTTCAGACTACACTGGAATATACTTTGGGGTTTGGGTTTTTTTGCACTCTCTCTGTGAATTTCACATTCTCATCCTTTCCCTACTTAAAGAACTCTTTCCAGTTGTCTGGATCTCTGCCACTTTGATGCAGTCCTGCAGAACCCTTCAGTCCGTGAAATCACAGGAAAAACACAATTCCCACAGAGACATCACTCTGTGGCGTCAAAGCAGTTGAGATTCCTGTGCTAATAAGAAATTGCATTAAGTGGTATCACTTCATAGCATCCAAGTGCAATGTCAATTTCACAAGCGCAAGTGCAATCACAATTTCACTTCGCGAAATGTGCACGTGCCCTCCTTGATAACTACTGCTGTAGTTTAGGGCTGTGTCTCATGAACTGCTTGAAACACTCTGCAAATAACTCTGCTTCCCAGCCTTCACTTGCCCTCCCTGCTGCAGACACAGCATAGACTCTGTATAGCTCTGAGGTGGTGATGCTTAACTCCTAGTTTTTACATGATGCTTCTGTCAACAGGCTTTTACCATCCTGAGGATGTGAAAAAGTTAAAAGTTGTATCTGATCCAAACCATCAGACAGAGGAAGCCAGACATGATTCCCACGACAAAGGGACTCTCCCTCTGCTAATGTGGGACCTGCTGCATGTTTCCCCAGTCAGACCTGCATTGCAGCGAACAACTTTGCCAGGGTGTCAGGGGTCAGGACACTGGGTGCATCAATAGGCCTTAATGGCCCTGATCAGCCTCACCTGGGGCCTCCACCCACATCCTCTGCCCATTGCCTGGGACATCCATTTAAGCTCAGGCCTGCGCATTCAGCATTGCTTTAAGTTCTATTACTGGAGATGTACTTGTCTCTTGTCTTATTAGTGTTCTTCTCTCCTGGTTGGTCCTTGGTCTACTGTCACAGCTTTGTATCCAGCTCTGTCTCTTGCTGCTTGACCTGACAGGAGTCCCAGGACAGACCTACACCTGAGTCATCATCTTGTCTTCAACAGTCTGGGGCTGTTGATAGATTATGATACCAGCACCCAGGTCTGCTCACCTTGTTCAGATCCTGCAGGACTCTGTCCTGGTAGTAAGGTAAGAGTCACCCCTGCCTGGGCTCTAAGACTCCTCTAGTGTGGTTGGGGGAAGTTCAGGCTGCCCCCAGAGAGCCCTAAGGATTGGATGGCTGGTGGAAGGTGATAGGGTGGGCTGACCAACAGCAAGAAGCTGGGATGAGGGACTGAAGCTATCAGTGAGGCTGGACAAGGGTGAAGCAGTCAAGCCATCCCTGAGCAGTCCCTTGCCTGGGAATAGAGCTTGAGGGATGAAAACAGGGGTTCCTAGAGCAGCCTTTAAAGGTGAGAAAGGGATCAAATCAGGCTATACTGTGGTGGGTAAAGGCTCAGACCTTCCCTGAGGAGACCCCAAAGGCTGGAAGGGTGTCAAGTCATGCTGGAATGGGAATCCAGCCTCCCTGGTGGAGCTTGTGTGGCTGGGTGAAGGTGAAATCAAGGTATCTCAGAGCAGACATGCCCAGGGTAGGGATCAAGGTGTCCATGAGGCCAGGGGTTCAGGAAGGATGTCCCTGAGCAGCCTGGGAAGCTGGGGAGCACTGGAAGCTGGTGGTCAGAGGGGCTGAGGTGGCACCTATGACAAGCCACAGTGGCCTGGGGATTTTAAGCCCTCCATGAGCAGCCCCAACAGCTGGGGTGATTCAGGCTGTCCCAAAGAAGCCTTGAAAGCTGTGTGGTTGCAAAGGGCCAGGTTGTCCTTGGGGGTCAAGGAGATCATAATGTCCCAGAGCAAGCCAACCTGGCTTGGTGATTAAGCCCCTCCTGAAGCCAGGTAGAGGATGAGGTCAAGCCCCACTAAGAATGGGCTTGGGTTGCCCCTGAGGAGCTTCTGAGGCCAAGCAGGTTCAGGACTTTCCTGAGGACACCTGATGATTGGGGAATGTGAATGATGCTGACTGGGAGGTTCATGCTCCTGAAGAAACAGAGGCCACGTAGCATGTACGGGTTTCAAGACACCCCTGAGGCCAGGAGGCCAAGATAAGGATCAAGCCATCACTGAAGCAAATCTCTGTATGGTAGGGTCAACCCTGAGGAGCCTTAGAAGGGGAAGGGAGTTCCTGCCACCCCTGAGGAGCCCCAACAAGCACCAAAGCCTGGGGAGCTGGGTGTGGGGTTGAGACCAAGGTGCCCCAGAGGACTAGGGAGCTGGCAACTTGGACCCCATCTGGCTTCCCAGTGTTTGTGGCTGGGCTTTGAGGCTCCTCTGGTGTGCTTGACAACCCCCTGGCCTCCAACTCTTGATTCTTAGGTGAATCTGGCATGACAGATCTTTCCTCACAGTTGAGATTTTTCTGTAGGTACTTAGCAGAAAGATGTATGATGAAGATATTGACTTGGCTGACTCCAAGGCTGAATTTCTGTCTCTCAGTGCATTGAGCAGAATGCTGATAGAAGCAAAGGCTGTTTACAGAATATATAACAGATACTTCAAAGAGTTTTTCTAGCTTTGAGTTCTTCAGTCACAGGCTTTTGTGCATAATGCATCTAATGTTCTATAAACCTGATACAATACATTCCTTATTAGATAAAGGCAGAAGGATTATAGTTACTCCAGTTTCCTGCCTGTGTTACAGCTTAAAAGTTAGGTGATGATAGAACAATTTAGGATTCCTGTCTACATCTGCAGTTATGTTAGAAGAGAAGGTAACTGCTGTAAAGAAAGGATTGAGGAAATTCTCGGTACTGAAAGCTACAGTTCTCCAGGATCCCCTCAAAATAATGAGAGAATAAGTTGCCCAGTATTCCAGTGTCTTATAAACCTGCTTAATTTTGTGCATGTTTATAGCTTTAGTAACTGCAACAGGAGTGTATATTGAGAATTACAGCACTAAAAATGTAAAATGGCATTACAGACATGCAAAATGAGGGTCTCTGGTTTTATCCAAACTCATGTCCTTTAATTATTCTAGATACTTTATTTTTGCAATTTCAGTTTTGTATATCTACAATTTCTTTAGCAATGAGTGATTTATGTTAATCTCTCTGATTTTTGAAATGTTCAATGGTAATTGTTTATAAACTTGATCCATTAGATAATTTCATTTTCTTACAGAAATAAAATTTTATATTTTGTGTGCAGTACCCACTTCAATACAGAATAGGCAAAAAGACTTAGTAAAATCTGTCAGTCAAAATCAAATCATACTAAAAGCAGAAAACTTCATGTGCCAATGGAAAAAGATTAGCATTCTTGAGGCTTCCCCCCCCTCCCCCAGTCCTGTCCATATGCGAGGAGCCTTAGCTTCACTTGGAAGTCAGCTTGTGTTGGGCTGTTTCTCACTGTATCAAGCTCTTTGTGCACCCAGCTGGCTGCAAAGTTTCTCTTTGCTGCGGTGTCTCTGTGTAATCCCAGCCAGTTTCCCTTTGCAGCTGTGGGGGGCCTCGTTTGATGTGCCTCTGTAGGTGGCTGCCGATCCTTCAACCAGAGCCTGCAAACAGAATCTCTTCTGTAGAGGAAAAGAAAACACCCTGGTGATGCCATGTGAGTGTTTGCTTTATGCATGCAGGAGGAACTGACGTCAAGTGCCTCAGGATATTGTTCTAATGCAGTAACACGATGTTGTGGTTTGTATCTCTGTGCATCTAATATACCTAATGCAGAGCCTGTGGTGAAGGACAATGTGGTCTACACCTCCTTTCTGCTCTTGCTCTCTTTTACTTTCAAGACTCTCCACGTGTACTGAAAAAAATCTGCCATGTCTGTGAGTATCAATTGCAAATATGGTGACCTCCCTTAGACATACTAAAACCAGTTTTCTTGCATTGTTCCCATCTGTGTAGTTGCAGGCACTGTTAATATGGCAGAGAAAATGCATGAATGTGCAACAGAGGTGACCCAACGCTGATGTTATTTTTGCTACTCACTTGAAAGGAAAGGGAGAGAAGTCATTTTGCATACCTTTAGCATGCAACAGAGATGAGCCTGGTGTTCTTTACATCACCGTTTTTACCTCTTTCCACTTTGAACATAAGTACTGATACAAGAAGCTTAAAAAGTGATGTCAAAACCCAATAAAACTAGGCTAGGCTTTTCAATATTATGTATGTGTAAATGCAAGTAGGAACTCGTGTTGCACTGAGGGGACCATGCAGCTAGAGTTCTATGAAAATACATTGGGGTGAAGCCAGTGCCCAGCAGTTTTTCTCCTCCTCCAGTACCTCCCTGAGGCATGGGAATATGCCAGTTGTTCTGGGACATCCTGGCTCTCGCTGCAGGATGTGAATGTATGTGGAGCCTGGGGGAATCTACTGAGGACTGTACAGGTATGGGATAAAAATGTAAGGGTTGATGCAACATGGGAGTTGAGGGATTGATGTGCTCTGGTTGTACCTCCCTAACTGGTTACTGCAATTACGCAGTAATCTGACTGTGTAGATGTCCTCTTACCCTGCTTGAGGACCCAGCCTGTATTTAAATTCTAAGGGATTTATTCCTAATGTAACTATGTATATTGCCCATTTATGTTTTTCCTATGGATGTCATTTTTAATTCTATCTTCTAGCCCCGTTGAGATCCTGTGGCAAAGGATGTCATGGGTGAATTGCAAACTGCCTATGGCATACTCCCTTTCCTCAGTTAGGAATAGTTGTCATTCAGCTTCAGAAACCGTAGTCTTGATCTGCTACTGAAGTGAGGGTGAAGAGGAGGCTCCGGTCTACCCTCCTTTCCTGCATCACCATTGTTTTAGTAACACTAAAGAAAAAAAACCCTGTTGTTCCTTTGCCTTGTGAACGCTGATTTGAACATCTTGGATGACCTCTTTTCTACATTTCAGTGTTGTGAGCAGCTTTATACCTCTGTTGTATTTTAACAAAAATCCAAGATGGTAACAGCGACGCTTCTTAAGCACTGTCCTCACAGTAGAAATCTCATAGTGTTTCTGGGGACAGATGATGATTTACTAGGGAAGGGCACAGTTTTGTCACCTCCATCAGCCAAGACCCAGGATATCTGCAGCAGTGAACGCGAGCCCAGCTGCACAGGTAATTTCCGAAGAGGTTGACTCAGAGTATCCTGTGCCAGAGAGCAGAGCACTAAGTAGTTCCTGCGGACGACTGGAAGCAGAGGATTAGCGGCACCCCTCTCCTGCCAGCCTTGCTTGCATTTCATATTGCAGGAGCTTGGAGCGTGCCGGGCTGGCAGTTAGGCTTTTCACCTTTACTCCAGGGCAGCCCAGAGCGTGGCGGAATCTTTCTCCTTGCACTGATGGGCCTGTGCTGCTGTAACTCTCAGCAGCCGCGCAGCTGCAGACAGCCCTATACGTGCGCATGCCCTTACGCCGTTGATGCCAAAAGCTTAAAAACAATTTAGTTAACATACCAATATCCCAATAATGGGCCCCTTTGCACAAGCTTCACACCGACAAGCTAAGCAAGCCTACGCGCTGAAGAGCGACCCTTCCCCAGCTCAGTACGCCGCGTACTGACAAGGTAAGCGCGTCCGTGCGCGGAGGCAGCCCCACAATGTAGGCATCGGGTTTCCTGGAAACAGGCAGGTACTTAACTCGTGCATTAGGTTCGCTGGAAATCAGCGGGTCCTTCTCGGGAATTACACAAGTATTCATTCTTTTTAATGTATATAATGAGGGTGCCTTTGGGCACGCACGTCAGGCGGAGCGACCCCCCCCGTGCGCGGAGAGGCGTGCCTGCTGCTTAATGCTACCCGGCGTGAGGGGTTTTCACTCGCGGTGTCGGTGACGCCGCCGCCCGCGGACAGGCCCGAGCTCCCCGCGCTTACGGCAGCGGCGACGCGCACGGATGC